GTGATCATAGCTCACTGCAATCTCAAATTCCTAGTCCAAAGCAATCCTACTGCCTCCGCCTTTTCAATAGTAAGGACTACAGGCATGCTCTACTATATCAGGGTAAGTTTTTAATTTAATATAACTTTTTATTATTTTTTTGACAGGGTCATGCTCTGGCACCCAGGTCGGAATGCAGTGATATGATCACTGCTCACTGTAGCCTCGACCTCCTGGACTCAAGTGATCCTTTCACTTCAGCCTCTTGAGTAGCTGGGACTACAGGTGCATTTCACCATACCTGAAGACTTTTTGTTGTTGTTGTTGTTTTAGAGACAGGGTTTTGCCATGCTAGCCAGGCTGGCCTCAAACTGCTGGCTTTAAGCAACTCTCCCCATTCGGACTTCCAAAGTGCTGGTTTTACAGGAATGAGATACTATACTTGGTGATAATCAAACTTTTAAATAGCAAAGACACAGAGAGTCTTGAATGAAGCAAGAGAGAAGCAATTTCTCACAGGTAAGTATTTCTTAGTAAGATTATTAGGAGATTTCTCATCAGAAACTTATAGGCCAGAAGGTGTTGGGCCAATATGTTCAATATGCTAAAAGAAAAAATGTCTTTCAACTAAGAATCCCATATCTGTCAAAAGTGTCCTTCAAAAGTGAAGGAGAAATTAACTCATTCCCAGATAAACAAAAGCTCAGGGAGTTTGAGACCACTAGACTTGACTTTCAAGAAATGTCTAATAGAGTCCTGAAGGGTAAAGTGAAATAATACTGGACAGTGAAGGAAGAAATAATGACCTCATTAAAGGTAAATGCATGAGCAATTTAAAAAGACCAGCATTACAGTAACAATGGTTTTGTTTCCATTTTTTTTTTGATTTTCTATATGATTTAAAAGACCAGTGAAGTTTAGAAAAACAATTATTAACCTGAAAGCTTTTATTGTTGTAGCTTTGATTTATAACTCCACATTTCATTTTCTACATAATTTAAGAAAACAATGCATTTAAATGAATTATTACATTTTGGGCACATGATGTGTAAAGAAGCAGTTCTGTGACATTAACAACTGAAAAGAGGGAATGGAGCAAAGTTTTTATGTATTAGTGAAGTTAAGCAGGTGCAATTCAACCGAGAGTGTTGTAATATGTAATAGGTGTAAATGAGAGTTAATATTCAGATGGGGGGGGGATTTTAAGAAGCCATTGGGGAAATTTTTGTGTTCTCTTCCCAACTGTTAAGAGTTATCATGGAAGCACGTAGAGAGATTAGGTCTGTGTCACCTGAGTCTTAGAATTCTTGTAATAAACAAGATTCTAAGCTACATTGAAAACAAAGTGTGAACAAGACATAAACTTCGGTTTATTAAGCTACTGAGATTTGAGAATACAATTATTCCCAAATAAAAAGAAAATCTGCTTCTTGTGTTGGTAAACCTTTTACATCTGAAGACAAACAATGGTATTCCACGTACTATCAGCCAAACATAAATTGAATGTGGGTTATCATTTTCTTGTGTTCATTAATCTCTTTCTAACATCTTTTCTGAACAGTACTTATAAGTGAAGATCGCTCAATTGTGTAGTGAAATATATTTTCCAAGGAACTGCTTGTGAGCTCAAGTCAAATTTAAAAGAAAAATAAATTATAAAATCAACTCAAAAGATAACTGCAGTTTTAAAAATAGAGTATAATTAAAACAAGGTTTGTATGTGTAATTTTGAATCATACAACTTAAAATGTGGAGGGCTCAGAAGAGATCAACTCTTCTACCCCGCCATCCCCACAACATATGGCAATATCTGTAAAGGTCACCCTTTTAGAAAGTCACTCGACCTCTGACTCGATGTTGGATAAAACTGTTAACTGCTTCACTGACTGTGACAGTCTTCATCAAAAGCTAACTTGCTCCCCTTCGTAAGTGTTTTGAAATACCTCGACAGTCATCATAATGCTACAACTGTACCTTTTTGCATGCTTCTTGTGCTATAATTTCTTTAACTCTTCAACTATCTATATATTGTCTTCCATGCCGTGATAGTTTGATACCAATCATTTTAAAATGTGGTAGAGTGAGTGCAATACACTATTACAGATATGATATTTGGTGGGCAAACCACGCAGTTGAGATTAATTCATTGATAATGAAAAACATCTTTCCTTGTGAAGTCTAGAAGAGACAGATGTTTCTTTCAGTACCACTATTGTCTATTAATATTAGGCTTATTAATGAATATCTTCATTTTCTTCCACTTAATTGCGTTGTTAGTTCAATGGTTCCTCATCTGGTATCAGTGGAATTTACTTTTAAAAGCTAAATATAAATGTTGTTTCCACTAGGTAAATCCGCCAACAAAAAAGTAAAAATTCTTTTTTGACTTGAATGCCTCATGGATGATTCATTTGTTCTTAATAGATAAATAATAAAGGTGTTTTTGAAAGAAGTTAAAATTTTAATTAAAAATATGTTGCTGATTTTCCTTGATTTGAAGGTTAGTTCTCTTGAGATAAATGGGGTAGAGTAATATTCTTTAAATGTATATATGAATTTCAATATAGACATAGGTTTGCTGTGACAGCTATTTTCTCTGAGTCAGCTGCAAAAATAACCCATGCTCTATTTATTCATAATATGGTAATTATTGACAGAATTTTTTTGGGGGGAGAAATTCATGTTAATCATTCTCATTACCTCTCTCAAACTTAACTGAAATTCTGAATTTGTGGTGTTCCCTTTGATTCAATTTTTCTATCAAAACAAACAAACAAAAAAACACAACAGGCACAAAAAAACCCAGGCAATAATCTTTGATATCAGCTTCTCTCAACCATTTTCTTCTGGGATTACAGCAACCATAACTAGTTTCCTTATCTTCACTTCTCATCTTTATAATCTATTTTCTTGTGTATAAATTAATGACCCTTCATCTGGTCATTTTATTTCTCCACTTAAAATCCTTAATGGATCCCAAATCAGCTAACAGTACAAGAAGAACCTCATTCCACTTTCTCCACTTCTCCTATGTAGTATGGTCTCTTTGGCAATTCTGGAAATTTTATCAGCATTAACTTAAACTGAGCTTATCTAAAACTATACCAAGTTATGCTAAAGCTGTCGGTTTAGGGTGCACACATTAGCAATGACTTTTTTTTGGAAAAGAGAGAAAATAAATATTACTGTAACATGAGAAAAAATCAGAAATGTAGCAAATTATCTCCAGAAATAAAACATTTTGTTGTGTTTTGTGGCATTTTGTTTGTTAGAATTCATGTATCAGGTGAGATATATTATTGATATAAAAATATAGGCACACACACGAATATACATATATATTTATACATTCCATATGTATATGTATATATATGCATATACATAGAGAACGTTGAACAACACAGTTTAAATAGCATACATTTTATGTTTGTTTATAATTTCAAAACAAGTTTCTTTATATCAAGTTCTTCATAATTCTGAAACAATGATAGAAAATAATATTTACATTATATTTGTTATGAAATCTTAAGAATATAACTAAAGAAAAATCTGTAAGTTTGAATCATCATAAATCAGAGAGAACTGGAAGGAGGCTAGTGGCATGACAGCTTTAGTGTGCAGATGAGAAGACTAAATTCAGAGAAGTGACATCTTTACTTTGTAGGAAGCATTTGCTAGTTACGGAACTGGCCCTAGAGGTTTGTTGGGTGACTCATGACAACTTCTCCGACCCAGCCCTTCAACCATGGATGCACAGTTTTCTGCTGAGTCTCCTCCGTATTGGAAAATCTAACCTTCCCTGCTTTGTGTAACGTCCTGAGATACTCCTACGTTTTCTTATGGTTGCAGGATATTTAGTCCGAGGAAGAAAGGGAAATAAACTAAAGGAAATAATTTTATTTATTTATTTATTGAGACAGTCTTGCTCTGTCGCCAAGACTGGAGTTCAGTAGTGCGATCTTGACTCACTGCAATCTCCACCTCCCAGGTTCAAGTGATTCTCCTTCCTCAGCCTCCTGAGTAGCTGAAATTACAGGTGTTTGTCACCATGCCTGGCTAATTTTTTGAATTTTTAGTAGAGACAGTGTTTCACCATGTTGGCCAGGCTGGTTAACAAGAGAGGCCTGGCCTCAAGAGACTGACACACCTCAGCCTCCAAATTGCTGGGATTACAGGCATGAGCCACCTTGCCACCATGCCCGGCCAAAAATTCTTTTTCTTAATAAATGATATTTTCAAACCTGAAGTGAGGTTTTCATAGTTTAGGTTGATTTCTAAAAATCGTTTCTCCCACTAGAAGACACTGGAGTTTCATAGAGAAATTATTGGAACTGGGTGTGTAGTAGGAAAAGTCAAGGAAAGCCTGGAACCTTTTGTTATGCCAAAGCTTATTGGGGGCACGTGAAATACACACAGAAGCCAGCTTCTTAGTGAGATTTGAAACAAATTTGAGCGTCCCAAAGAAGTACAATGGCAACTGATTGTAATGCATTGGATATTGAAAATGATCCAGTTTGAAAGGGATTTAGAAGCAACCCTGCTCTACAATACGAATTGTCACCCTTGATACTTTGTTATGGCAACTTTAATAGATGAATGTAATATTTATACAATTTTAAAAGGATATTCATAATTAAAATAATTTTTCTGACAACCTATTTTTAAATAAGTGTTAATAATTTATGAGTTTATGGAAGAAATAATGTTCAATACAAAGTCAATGAACATTATAATAGGTTATAATTACTAATTTTCTGTCAAGTTTATCTTTCAAATAACGTGGCTTCCAAATAATTATTATTCAGAACTGAAACGTCAACTACGATTAAAAAAAGTTTCCTAGCATAAGCAACTCACAAAGTATGTCTTTCATTAATCATATGAAAAATATTTCTTAGATTTGCTTTACCAGATTCTAAATATGTATGAATACAGGTACATAAAAACACAAAGTATTCAACAACACAAAACTCAGCAAGGACAATACAGCCAAGATATAATTACCAAATTCTAATAAATACCTTCTAAAATATGTATTGTGGGTATATACGTATCCTTGAGTGAAAAGTAAAAATTAGTTTTAATTATATTATTTTAATAAATTGTGTAAATATCATTGTATTTTTCTGCTAGCGGTACTATAACAAAGTACCACAGATTTCATAGAAATTTATTTCCTTGGAGGTCTGGAGGATAATAATTTGAGATATAGCTGTCAACAGGGTTGCATTCTTCTCAGGCCTCTTCCTCTGCCTTGTAAATGGTTTTATTCTGTCTATGCCTTTATGTGGACTTCTCTCTATATGGTGTGTCCTTATTTTCTCTTCTTATTGACACCGGTTATACTGGAGTAGGGCCCACCTGAATCATTGATCTTTAACTTAATTACATCTTTAAGCACTCCTTCTCCAAATGCAGTCGTATTCTCAGGTATTGGGAATTTGGGCTTCAACAAATGAACTTTGGAGGAATGCAGTTGAACCAATGCTACTGAATACACAAAGATGTTTCTCTCTACCAAGGTATTATTCAACTAAATGAATTACTTTCTCCTTTGAGATATATAGGTGCGACCCTATATATCTAGATACTATATATCTATATCTATATATCTAGACATTTTGCTCAAGTTTACTCTTAGAAAGAGTTCACTGGAGGAGACAAGTTTTCGACTGGAATATCAAATAAGAAAGAATTTGTCATGATTCTTATAGTGCTTTTGAGAAAGTAAGTAAGAAAGTATAGAGCTTATTCTAATCTAATTTCAGTCATTTCAAAATAGTACTGATTTTCTCTATTTTTCTGCATTGCATTCTACTTTAATCTATTTAATCCTTAATTTAAAAAATGTGCCTGTAACAGTTTAGTTAACAAAGGAAATAACAGGAGAAATTGCTTTTTTTTCATATTGGCACAAATCAAGGTTGATTTTGCACAGCAATTAAAACTAGCAAATCATGTGATAGATAATACTGTAAAACCTAAAATTCTTAACCTAGAATCAAATAAGGTGGCATAGCTTTGAGAGGAGTGGCTGAGGGAAAAGATACTCTCATAAATTGACAATGGGATTTCTAGTATTATCCTACACTACATTTGTTGGAACATTATAAAGTTTTGGATAATTACAAAATTTGTTTTCTTCATTAATGGCCACACACCCTTGATTCTCCATGATTTTTACCCCATGTGGTTCCACTGCTAATGTTATGATGTAGTTCTTTAATATGCAAGGCCTGCATTCAAAGAGATAGTTAATATAGAAAATACATGACTACTGAAGAGAAAACATATCAGAGAACAATGACATAAAGCTATGAAAGGTATTTATTTCTGTATTTGTTTATTGCACATTTGCTAGAAAACTCAGAAATGCAAATTAAAATTTACTGCATTGCAATGTAAGTTTATATTCTGCTTTTTGATTACATGTATGTTGTGATTTACATATTGCTAATCTTGTTGAAATATTAAATTCTTATGTTAATTAGTTTTAGCAGCTTTCTTAAGGTATAATGGAAATGTAAGAAATGGCATAATTTAAAATATTTTATTTGCGGTTTTGATATATGAATCTATAAAAAATCACTATATGTAAGATTATGAAAATGTCGATCACTCCCAAAGTTCCCCTTGTATTATGAATAAGAAACTTTTGAACATTTTAAGGTTAGAATCTATCTAATGACATGTTTCCTACTTAAAATTTTATAAGTATATTCACATATCTCCATAATGAATATTAAATGCCTTTTACACTGCAGAACTTGTAAAAAAAAGAAAATATTATTCATTTTTTCTTTAAGTTGGAATGAGATTTTTTTCATAAAATTAATTTCTGTTATACTCTCACAAAATATGCTACTTCTGTTAGCATAGTGAATATATCCTATTAGATTTATAAAAAATTTATAGACATACAAAGCTAGATATTACATGAAGTTACAATTAAGAGGGAAGCTGAGTGTTTAGATCTCTTTCAACTTACCTTGTCCATTAGCACAGGAAACCCACAAGGTGAGAATGACATTGATTAGTAACAACATGTTAGATATTCTCAGCAGTATATTAATACAAAAGTTTCAGTTGCACTGTTTGAAATCTTTCATTATGAGTTACCATATAATTCTGAATTTAAGTGCACTACCACGAAGCTAGGTCTTTAAGGTCACTTAGTAAATATCAAAGTTCAGAGAGTTTTGCAAAATGCTTCAATGATTCCTATTAGTGGTTTCACAATCATCTGTGGAATTGATTCCCTGATATGTACATGTACAGTTTTATTTAGCGACAGTAATAGACCAACTCCAAAAGTAACATAAAATATTAATTCATTTTTATTTCTTAGTTTTTGAGCAAAGGGAGTTTTAATAAAGGGAACAAAAGGCTTCTGCAACTATTGGAAGCACTGAGGGAACAAAGGTCGGAAATGCTATTTCCAGAAAATTCCAAAGTTCAGGAATCTTAGTGATGCCCTCACTAATTATCCATGGTGCTGCAGTGGATGTTTCTCAGGAAAACTTCCAGAAGCAAGGAAAACTACTGTTGGTGATCTCAGCTGCTACCAGCAGCTGCTGCCAGAGAATGCTTTGTCTTTATCTTCTTCCAAATCTTCTTTAAGTACATCTTATGGAGGAATCTAAGGGAGAAGCAAGCTATGGAGAAAGGGACTTCAGAAACTGTAGTTTCAGACTTATCTTCTGCACTGCAGAAGAAAATGAAGATAGGAGCTGGGTTGATGTTACGTTGAAAATAAACGTCTGGCACACTATTCTACTTCTGAAAATCCTGCTGTTTGAGCATGGCAAGTTGTTTTTTTCCACAAATGGTCACGATACTATCTCCTATCCCAGATACTCTTCTCACAATGAGAACACTAATTTTAAAATTAAACACTGGAAAATAGGTGAAGTTCTTCAACAAACAGATTAATCATAAATGAACAACACTCAGAGTCCACATCACTAAAATTTTCTGTTGTCTTTTGCTTTCCAATACCCAGCTTAATTATTTAAGAATTTTTGTTTCACAAAAATCAATACGGGTTTGTCTGGACGCCATTCCACTGTCTGTATTTTCATGTGTTTACAGAAGCATACTGAGTTTCAGAACTCACAATAGATCGTCCTGGGTACAAAAGTTTCAGCATATTCTTGACATTTAAATATTTTTAAATTTGTGTTTGAGGGTATCTTTTATTTTAAGGTACAATACATTCCTCTGTGTGTGTGTGTGTGTGTGTCTGTGTGTGTGTGTGTGTGTATGCACACATACATATAAAAATTTATGTTTTGTTGGAAGAATATAACTCAAGTCCACACATGTTCTCTAATTGACTTCTTCTGTTCTATCTTTACTTTATTTTACATTATTATACTTGCCATGATTTAAGATTCCATTGATTAAAATAAGAGAATCGTGGAGAGAATAACATCAGCAAAACAGCAGTGTAGGCGTTCTCCAGTTTCTGTCTCTCCTACAGAAATTCAAGTATCAACTACCCAGAGCCAAGTTTACCACTCTGAATATAATAGAATATAAGAGTGAAGCAGTAATATAGGAAACAATTTAAAATAATAGCTACAATAGTGGTTGAAGGATATGTGATTTAAAAAGTTGTAAGTTGTGACATCGAAAATTCAAAATGTGGACTGAAGTAGAGTAAAAATGTAGTTTTGATTTTTCTTGTAAAAAGTGAATCACAAGTTGTTATCATGGTAAAATAAGCTGCTATAAATATAAGAATTTTGTGAGCCTCATAGTAACCACAGCACAAATCTATAGTAAGTACACTACAAATAAAAAGAGAAGAGGCAAACAACACTAATAGAAAAAAATCAACCACAAAGAAAGGAGGAAGAGAGGAAGAAAAAAAATATCGGCCAAACAACTGGAAAGCAATTAAAAATGGCAATAGTTAATCTTTGTCTATCAATAATTACTTTGAATAACAATGAATTGAATTATTCAATTAAAAGACATAGAATGGGTTAGCGGATTAAAAAAAAAGAAACAACGCTCGACTATATGCTCCCTGCAAGAGACTCATATTACCTCTAAGGACTCATAGTCTGAAAGTGAAGTGATAGCAAGAGATACTCCATGCAATTGGAAACAATAAAAGACCAGGAGCAGCTATATGTAAATCAGATAAAGTAGATTTTAAGTAAAAACAGAAAAAGAAACAAAGAAAGTCGTCATATAATGATAAAGGCATCAATTCAGCATAAGCACATGAGAATTGTAAATATATATATATGTAAATATTTATATACACTCAACATTAGAGCAGCTCTATATATAAAGCAAATATTAATAGCTCTAAAAAGAGAGAGAAAGATTGCAATGCAATAATAGTAGGAGACTTCAACTCCCTACTTCCAGCAATGGAAAGATACCCCAGACAGAAAATCAACAAAAAGGCACTGAATTTAAAGTACATTCTAGATCAAATGCCTCTAACAGGCATTTTTGGAATATTTAATTCAACAGCTGTAGAACACATTCTCCTCAACTGCACATAGAATATTCTCTAGAATAGCTCATAAATTAGGCGGTAAAACAAGTTGTAACAAATAGAAAAAAAATTTAGAATTACATCAAGAATCTTTTCTGATCATAATGGTATAAAACTGGTAATTAGCAACAGAAGAAAACTTGGAAATTTTGCAAACATTTGGAAATTAAACACCATGTTTATTTAAAACCAATGGGTCAATGAAGGAACTAAAAGGAAAATTTGAAATGTTTTTAGACAAATGACCATGGAGACACAACATAGCATAATAGATGAGATACAACAAAACCAGTTCTAAGAGGAAACTTTATAGCAATAAATGCCTTATCAAAAAGAGGAAAGCTCTCAAATAAACAACCAAACATTGCACCTTAAGGAGCTAGAAAAACAAGAACAACCTTACCAAAAAAAAGTAGAAAAGGAAATGACGAATATCAGAGCAGAAACAAACAACATAGAGACTAAATGTAAATACAAAAAAAAAGTAAAGATTTCTTTTAAAAAAATAGAAACAAAATTGACCAACCTTTTATTAGACTAAGGAAAAAAAGAGAGAAGATCCAAATAAATAAAATCAGAGGTGAAAAAGGAGACATTACTTCTGGTTCTACAAAAAAACACGAAGTATCATAAAAGACTATAAGAAACAAATATTTGTTTAAAAAAAAAATTTGGTAAACCTGGAACAAACGGATAAATTTTTGGACACATACAACATATCAAGACTGAATTCAGAATATACAGAGAATCAAAACACACAAGTAATGAGTAAGGAGATTAAACCAGTAATAAAATTCACCTATCAAAAAAGCCCAAAACCTGATGTCTTCACTGCTCAATTCTAGCAAGCATGTTTTTAAAAAGAAAACTGATAGTATTTTTTCTCAAATTATGCAAAAAAAAAAAAAAAAGATAATGGAATTTTCTAACTCATTCTTGCATGCCAACATTACCCTGATACCAAAACCAAATAAGGAAATAACACAAAAAGAAAACTACAGACTGATGTCCCTGTTGAACAGAGGTGCTAAAATTCTTAATAAATTACAAGAAAAGTGAATTTCTGTTTGTTTGTTTTTGAGGAGGGGTCTCTCTCTGTCAGCCCAGTCGGAATGCAGAGGCACAATCTTGGCTGGTTGTGTCCCTGACATCTTGGCCTCAAGCAATACTTTTACCTCAGCCTCCTGAGTAGCTGGAACTATAGGCTTGTGACAGCACACCTAGCTAATGTTTGTATTTTTTGTAGAGATGGGGTTTTTCCATGTTACCTGGGCTGGTCTCAGACTCCTGGGTTCAAGCAATCGGCTCCTCTTAGCTTCCCAAAGTGTGGGATTACAGGCATGAGACACTGTGCCTAGCCTAGAAACTGAACAGCACATTTAAAAATCATTCAGCATAATCAAGTGGAACTCATTTCAAGGAAGCAAAGATGGGTCAACATATGCAACATATGCAAGGAAGCATATCACAATAACAGAATAAACAAAACTATACGATCATTTCAATAGAAGCAGAAAAAGCATTTGAGAAACGGACATTTCTTCATTATAAAGACTCTCAACAAATTAGGCAGAGCAGAGCCAGCTGGAGGAATAGAAGGTGATACCAACTATTCCTCTTCCAAGATATGAATTTAACAACTATCTACACAGAAAAAAAAAAAAAAAAACCTTCATGAAACAAAAATAAAAAAACAAAAAAACAGGTTAGTACTTGTAGTACCTGGTTTGAACTTCATATCCCTGAAAGAGTCCCAGAAGAGATAGATAAGACAGTCTTGAATCACTGGCACCACCAAAGCTTTCCCCTATCTCCACACTTGCAGCTGTGCCATGATATACAGAGCCTTTCTCTAGGCACTGAGGGAAGGAGAACACAGCAACTGTGAATTATTGAACAAAGTGCTGTGCTGTTAGAGCAGAAAGGAAAATCAGACCAAACTCACCTAACGCCTGCCCATGGAGGGAACATTTAAACCAATCCTAGCCATGATGGAATCATTGATCACAGGGGTCTGAAGTTGAGTTCCTGCAAATCTTGCCATCTAAGGCTACCTACCATGCATTGTGTCTCTAAATAAACTAGAGAGACAGTCTAGGACATAAGGACTGCAACACTTAATGTGAGTCCTAGTGCTGAACTAGGTAGGCCCAGAGACAGTGGATTGGGGGAAGACATGCGATATTCAGAGGCACCAGCTGCAACAGCTGGGGCAGCCAAGGGAGTGCTGGCATCACCCAACCCCTAATCCCAGTCTTCACAGTTCACAGCTCCAGAAGAAACCCCTTCCTTCTGCTTGAGGAGGGCAGAGGGAAGAGTGGGGAAGACTTTGTCTTACATCTTGGATATCAGCTTAGCCACAGCAGGACAGGACAATAGTCAAAGTAATGAGGCCCCTGCTCTAAGCTGAAGCACCCAGATGACATTTCTTGACATACCCTGAGCCAAAAGGGAACCCACTGCCCTGAAGGAAATGATGCAGTCATGGCAGCATTCATCCAGGCTAACTAAGAGCCCATGGGCCCTGAATAACCAGCAGTGATACCTAGGTACTACATT